CACCATGCCCTGCTACACTTCTTTACTGAAAACAGTTTCAGGTTCACAGAAGAATTAAGCACAAGGTACAGCCCCCATATACCATCTGCCCTACAAACACACGCCCCTCATTATTAGACAAAAAAAAAAGGAAAGTTTTTTTTCTTAAAAAGTAAATTTGTTTTTTCCAACCTCACATGGTTAAGTAGAAAGGATTTAGTGATCTACCAGTTTTTCATCTCAAATTAAGTCAACTCTTGATTATATATAATCACGGAAGGAATAATAGTACTTCAATCTAAAAATAATCTCCACTTGGCTTTGTGACATATTACTTGAAGGTCCATTTTGGTTATATCAGACCTACCATTCCCTGAATTTACCATTTAAGTTAGCTGGCTTTTCCTGAGTATAGGGTTGAAGCAGTTGACCCAGAACTAGCTAGGGGTCCAGGGACATGTCACAGTCATATGTAATTACAAACTTGTATGAATCTACAAATGGCTAATTCAGTGTCACTTAACTGCTTCTTTCTCTCTTCCTGGAGGATTACCAAATATCATAGTTTTCAGAAACAGAGAAGAAACACATCTCTTACTTACAACTTTAAAGGGCTTGTTAATCATGATAGTTATCACACAACGTGACATGTAGAAAGAGAAAGAATGTAGGTGTATGAGCTAGGCAAATTTCCACTCATAAGTCCATCCACCCATCTTTCCAACAAACATTTTTTTTGGTGGTGTTGCCTACCCTAAACACTGTGCTGCAAATCAGTATTAAATGTCTAATGTGAGGCATTTAATGTCTAGTCTGTGATTCTCAAAGAGGGTATATGAGTATCATTATTTCCTTTTCACAAATACAAAATCATCATTAGCCTCATTTCTCACATCTGGGGTGCAGTGATGTTATTTACCCAAAGACACACAGTCTATACACATCACAGGATTAGTCCTTGCCCTCATGGAACTTAACATTTAGTGTCAAGGTTATGGAATTAGTGGACATCAGAGGAATTCCAGTTGCTAAGGAAGACGCGTTTAAGAGTAACTTAAGACAGTCAAGGAAGGATTGGGAGCAAGTCTATCACAGAAAATGTAGGCGTGTAAGAAGATGAACTTCCGCTGAATTACAGAAAGGCACACACGGTGACTGGAACAAAGATTAGGAAAGTTGAGGCTGGAGTGCTGACATTTTCAATACAGACACTACCCAAGCAGCCATGGCTATTTCAATGCCCAAGTCACCACTGAAGCTTTATCTGAGCTTTAGAGTTGAGAATTACCCGCAATATCTCGTTGTACACAGGATTCAAGGTCTTCTTCACTACGAGTGTTTTCTTCTTGCCCATTTTGCCTTTGTCTGGTAACAGATAGGTCTTTACATAGCTAAAAAAGAAAAGTGGGTAGACATCAAAGTTAGAGAAAACAAAAGTAATGTTTTTCACATCTATCTTTTAAAGCACCTTGAAAATCAGCAGCACAAATTATCTCCTAATGCTGATAAAAGCAGAAACAAAGGAATGTTTTTGTCCACACACTTATATTTTTAAATGTTTAAATGGATTAAGAAATTTTAGAAGAATAGATTATTTAATGTTTTTTTTAAAGACTTTTTAAAGATTTTTAAAAGAAAATTTCCTTTTAATTTTTTTTAAGTCGGGGCTCCTTCGCATAGCTGAGCAGGCCTCAAACTCATGATTCTCTTGTATCCACCTCTTAAGTGCTTGGATTGTAAGTGTGAGCCATCATACCTAGTCTCTATTATTTTCCATTGGCTTTCCTAATGTTTATGTGGTGTGGGAGGGGAAGCCAGAAATAGACTTTCAATATCGTGCTTAATTCTTTTGTTTTGTTTCCTATTGGGAAAGGCTTTGGTGCTTATGGGATTTGTATGCTATTTTTTTTTAACAGTTTTGTTATTGTCTCATGAACAAATTAATCTTAACACACATCTGCTTGGTCCATATTTAGTATAAAATCAATGAAGGATGCCAATGAATGAAGCTATGCTGGGTTTGTTGTTTGTTTGTTTGTTTGTTTCAGTAAGTTAAAAAAAAAAAGGACAAGGAAAATTGTTCAGTGGGAGGGAGAGGCTTGCTGCATAAATCTGATGGCCTTAATTTGGCTCCCCAGAACCTACATAAAAGCTGGATAGGGTTGTGTGCATCTGTAATCCCAGCCCTTCCACAATGATGTGGAAGGAGACACAGAAGAGTCCCCTTGGAGCTCCTGGGCCACTTTCCCTGGAGTACATGGTGAAGCAGCAGAACCAAGAGAAACCCTGCCTCAAAACAATATGGAAGGAGAGAACTGGTTCCTGGAAGTTATTAAGTTTACCTTCTGACCACCACGTATATGCCATGGCATTAATGTGCCTCCACCCACATACACATCATTAACACACATCAATATGCAACACACACACACACATACACACACACACACACACACACACACACACACACACACGCACGCACGCACATAAACACATGAGTGAAAAAAAAAAAGAATGGAAAAATGAGAGGACAGAGTCGGGCATGAGTTAACCAAAACTAGGGATGTATGGAAAGTCTTATGGATATGGAAACTCTTATGGGTATCTGCTACTTTGTAAAATTATTTTTTAAAAAACTTTTAAAGGAAGTCTCAATGAAGGTACCCTGAATGGGTTAATAGTACCCTCCCCCAGAAGCCACAAGTTATTAAGTGAAAATCCCATTGCCAGATGTGAATAATATAGGCTACCACACACTTTGGTGGCAGGGCATAGAGCGATTAAGCTGAAACTGACCTGGAAATTTGCTTTGCTGCCTAGCTTTCACAGTGTTGCAAGGTGCTGTATAAGCTAGCAGGAGAGAAAAAATAATCAGCCATCTGACCAGTAGTGTACCCTACATGCTACAATACTGATCGACCAGGCAGGCAAGATATGCCCACTGATGCAACAGTGGCGTAGATGTTATAGGGTAATCAACCACTTTCAATAGGAATTGAGGTCTGTTCCCACAGGACATAATTCATGCCTGGGTACTATAAACTTGGTCAGAAGCCCATGAGGGCAGTTATGGGGGCAGCTATTCTTGTTATTTTGCTAAATGAACATGTTATCAAACTGCCTTCTAAATATTTGTGATTATAACCATAGACCAGTGCTGCACTCAGCCTTGGTCAGAGAAGAGTCTCTTTGCCATGAGAAGCCATTAGTGCAGAAACTCATCATTGGTCAAAGTACTGAGAACAAGTGACTTCTGAGTACTCAGCCCTAAAGGGGTCATCTGTATTAACCTCTTCATCCCTGAGCTCAGGGGACAGTGCGGGAAGAAAGGGCAGTTGGAGTATGAGCTGGAGGATGAAGAAGAGTACTGTCAAACTTCTAGACATGACGTGGGATTATATTCACGAACTCCCAGCAGCTGTGGGTTCCTGCACAAGATGGAGACCATGAACATTCCTGAATGTATGGGGAAGGAATACAACGGGCCCTACGCCTAGCTGAGGAGCTATTGGCCAGTGATGATTGACAGGGGAAGAAGGAGTTGTTTTTCTCAGGGGTATAGCTGCTGGTCAGTTATCCATGATCGAGTAAATAACCCTACACTCATAAACATGTGAGCAACCCTAATTGAAGTCATGGGTTGGTTTTTGTTTTTGTTTTTTTAAGAAATACATGTAAGTGAAAGGAGCGTGTTGGAATAAACTAAGGTTCCAGGGAGAGTGGGGAAGGAACAAGGGGAGGGGATGGGAAGGGAGAATGAGATAAAAATACATTATAGGTAATTGTCAAAGAATAAATCAAAATTATTTTTAAAAAGAAGAAACAGGCTGGAGAAATGGCCCAGTGGTAAAGAGCACTTGCGTTCTCACAGAGGATCTGGGTTGGTTCCCAGTTCCCCCATGGCAGTTCACAACTGTTTTAACGTTAGTGGATCAGATATCCTCTTTGGGCCTCTTCAGGCACCAGGCACTCATTTGGTACATACATTTACATACAAGCAAAACACTCAGAAACAAAAAGTTAAAAGTAAAAATAAACTTAAAAAAAAAAGGAATTCTTAACAATTTGATGTCTATAAACACCTTCTAACTTTTTGTAAGTTGTATTTGGAATGCTTATGATTATCCACTGTATTTTTTAATAAAATAGTACATTGCTCTTTAAAAAAAAAAATAAAAATTAGTAAAAAGGAACCCAGATTGACCCAGAGCAGTGGTCACAAACCAGACTTCTTCAAAGGCTAAGTGAAAAATGTAAAACTACCCCTCCAATAAGCTAAGGTACAACCATACACATGATTTAAAAGGTGACTAAGCAATTCTTCATGAAGTTCCTATGTGAGACTTAACTTCATTTATTGTTCCTTTGCTTTGAGATGGGGATCTCCCTATCTAGCCGAAGCTTGCTTCCAATTCGCCATCCTCTAGCTTCAGCCTCCAGAGTGTTGGGATTACAGATGTGCACCACCACACCTGGCTTTGTAGGACATCATTTAAATATGGAAACTACCTTATTAGTAAGTCTTGAGTATTTTTACAACAAGAAACATTATGAAGTCTGTTCCTTGTGCCTCTAATTTTAGAAATGTTTTATAAGTCTGTTAGAGGGAGCACGGTTCTGGTTTTGTTTTGGATTTTGCTGCTTTCTGAATCCATGTCTGTGGACTACTTGTCTCTAATCCTTGTCTCCTTGTCTGGAAAATGAACAAACAGGGCAAGGTGATCCCCCTTCAAACCACCCAAACTGAAACATTTGGTGCTTCTCTGTATTTTTTCTTTTATATAACTTAATGTTTGGCATATGGATTTATAAAGTAAGTGCAATAGCATCCCCTACTCCAACTTTCCAAACACCCCTTTAAACACAATCCCACACAGACCTGCCCTGTGATTCCCACAGATTAACTGAGAACTAAGAGAAAATGGGTGAGCCCTCCCAGGTCTGTACTTACGGGTCTGAGCGCTGTTTTTTAACATCCGCTGCTGCTAGGTCCTTACACTGGGCCACGAAAACATGCAGCTCTTTGAGGGACTCCACGTAGTCGATTGCAAACTGAACACTTCCTTTCACTTCTAGGTTGCCAAAGTCTCCACTGTAAACGCTCATCACACTGCCGCTCACCTGGGTGCATCAGAAACAGGTAGTGTTTGCCCGAGTCCCATTCCTGACACCCCAGGGCAAGAATCTCAGACATAGTCAAGCCCCTGCTTAGCATTGCTTTTCTAGCTTGCACATAAAAGCAGTTAATGTAACATGGCATAAGGTAATGCCAACACAGACAATTGGACATGATATGTATGGCTAAGATATTTTCTAACTTGTTCCTCAATGGCAGACAATAGTGCAACGCAAAGTTTTTCAGATGCTAGTTCATTTCAAAACAGGGTGGTTTTACGCTAGGTTGCATTCACTGTTAGCCATGCTTAGTGTTTTAAAGTGTTAAGGAAAAAGGATGTGAGGGACTCCAGGCACACAAACCACAGCGACACGTTGTTTAAAATTCCATGGCACTATAAAAAGGAAGTTTACCATGTCTCTCGTCCTCTGAATCTAGGCAACTGCTTGCTGAGCCATGCACTTTTAGACTTCAGGAAGGATAGGAGACTATGGATGACTGATGAGGAGAATTTAAAGCCTCCCCAAAGGCATACATAGATTATCAGGAAAAAAAAAAATCAATTTAAACAGATTTTTAATGGCTCCAGAAATACAAGGCTAGTAAGAATGTCAGCACTGTGTCTTTTGTCTGGTATACCTGCTAAGCTATATGAATGTGTATGGCTAGTAGAAAATACTTAATATTTGGCAACGCCATTTCATATGTGTATTTCCATGCATATACTACATGCACACAGAGCTACCTCAAGTTATGGGGAAAGTTCCACATAATCCCGGGCACTTTGATCAAATATGAACAACCGTGCTTCAGGAGATTTCCATTTAACACCCTGTTCCGGATCCTTCCAGAAGGCAAAGAATTACTCTCCCATTCTTCAGGGGACTCAGAGTACCCTTCAATAGGCTTATTTAAAGGATAGGCACAACTCTATGCCTGTAAGCAGTGTGTAAAGTCATAGCTGAGACAAGCAGAATCTACAGTTACCCCGTTTGTTGCACAGAAAATTGAGTGGTTTACCTTGTTGCCAATTTAGAATTTTAAAGCATATCAAAAAGGTTTTTTTTTCAATTTATAATGTACACGAAACCCCTTATGCTATGAGAAAAGGAAGATATAGCTAGCCAGAAGCTAATGGCAAATTATAAAAAACCAACTTTGAGTTTTAGAGCTGAGACAGGAGATGACTTTACAGTGAGCAGGGGCACAAGAGCAAGGTTTAGAGCAGCAGAGAGATTAACACGGAGCCGTCATTTACATACAGAGGACAAGGACGTCATGCCAGAGGAGCTGCTAAGATTGGTTAATGAGCTCGGGCTCTTCTTGCATCTCCTGAGCTGGTAACTGCTCTCTGATGCTGTATCTGTTTCTCTGCCATCACTCTACAAAACATCACATCACATACACAGTGTTTAAATCCGGAGCGAGTCGAGGTCAGCATATTTTAAATTCGGAATGAGTCAAAGTTAGCATCTATGTTCAGGCAAGGATGATATCGTGTTACACACTGATCTATGGCTTTCCCCAAAGGCAACGGATGCTAGGGCTAGTTGCTGGGGATTCAGGATGGAGTGGTAGTCTACGGTGGACCTCACACAAGGCGGGCAGCGCTTAGCTAAGAGAATGATATAATGATCTTTTTGCCACAGTGTGACCCTCAGGAGCTACAGAAAACAGCACTACAGTGAACTTTCTTGTCACTCTTAAAATATCCACATTTCTTAGAGGATATATATGTGTGTGCATATATATGTATATATATATGTATCATAAAATGAAACATCTATGAAATCCTATTAAAGCACAAAGTACCATACTTAATTCTTTCCACTGTTATTATTTTAATCTTTGGATTTCTTAAAAATCAGAATGTTTTACTTAAGATACTATTAAACTAGGAACACTAAAAACTAGTCTGACCTGTTTCGATTAAAGTTTATATTTTTTTAATGCAAAGCACCCCTGATGTGACCCTATAGTGCTGTTGTACTTAACCTCCTGTTGCTTTAGGAAAGTATGGTAAATTACCCATTCACTGGATTTCAACATGTTTCTTTAAAAGTTAAAGAGCGATATGATACTTATTTTAAATATGTCCCAAGGAACATCTACCTGGGACAAGGAAGAAAACCAGCAACGACAAATTCACTGTGTTTATACTTAAAGTTTGTTAGATGTTTTCTAATAAAGTTCATTGTTCATAACAATTTTATTTGGGAATTATAGGCTATGTGGAGCAGCGCAGTGGCTCCTAAGTTATGGAAGAGTAGTTAGTTCATGCCAGCATATTCCAGGACCATGCAATTACACATCAACATCATGGGTACCAATTATAATGCAGATTAATTAGGGGGTTAAGGAAAAAAATTAATGACTTTCATGGAAAAGAAAACAACCTTGTCAGGATTTCAAAAATCCATACCTTTTAAATATCTCTAATGTTACATTCCCTTCCTGCACACTAAACAATCCAGTCCACTCTCTTAGAACACATTGTATATTCTACCTAGCACATCAGATCATTAGTAAGTTATTGGGAGGATGGGCTGGAAGATGCAGACCTGAAACAGCATTTTTCACATAGCTAGCACTCAGCAGATGTGACTAAGTTTCAAAGGGACAGCTGAGAAAGGAGCAAGGGCTGATTTCATCTCTGAATCCTTTAATATCCAGTTCAACCCTACGTGCTTTGAAAGGTAAAGTGATACAGTTTAATTCCAGCATCTTTGATACACAAAACCAACTGTCCTTGTTAAGGGCTGAGACAGCAGGTTAAAACTGAAGGAGAAACTTTAAAAAAAAAACTGGTATAATTCACCTCTCAAATTATATGTTTCATTCCTATGACCTACCCTCCCAAGACCAGAGCAGATCTCCAAAAGTCTAAAACCACAGAAACCGTGTGGAGTTTATGCTGGCAGGCTTCCAGATAATGGTTTAGTGCCCCCTCCCCCGATGAGTAATTTTTTTTTTCCAAACTGTAGTATGGGGCTCTTAAACATCTGCAAGGACCAAATATTTGCAGGTGCAGTTCACTCAAAGTCCCTAATGGACAGAAGGACATACAGGATGGAAGTAGGGTGTTACTTACATCTCACTCAGAATTTTGCTCACATCTGGCTTGAGTATGAAGCCTTTCATTTCCCCTTCAGAAACCAGGGCAAAACCTGAATCACAGATGCTAACCTTTACGACGTGGTCACTGTGTTCCAGGCACCATGTTATGTATTTTCTCTGCATTAGCTCACTCAGTCTGAATAACCTCATAGAGTAGATACTCAAAAATCAGACTCACTGAAACCAAAAAAATTTTTTGTTCCTGGTAATAATACAATAATTTAGCTTCATAGCCAGAACTGGAAATATCTTACTACAGACCACAGGCCCCTAATCATGTGACAGCAAGAAACTGGAATCTTACTGAGTCAAAAGACCTCAGGCAAAGTCTTAGATCTACTGTGTAGTAGGAACTGGGTGTTGGGAACCAAACTGGAGCATTAAGTGCCTGGTGCATACTCTGACTTGAACTGTAGTGCACAGCCATACTCTTACATGGTCAGGCAGAGTGGTTACCCGCATGGGCGTCAGATCTGGATTCCAGTCCACAGTCTGGCTGTGTGATTAGACTTTAACTGCATAGGCTTTATTTTTTCATGGTAATATTTGGGGATAATGATGATGCTTACCATGGTCATTGGAGAATTAGATAAAATAATAAGTCAAAAGTTCATGGAGCCTGTAAGATCCGCTTGAAAGTTTGTATCATTATTACCTTATTATCTTAACAAGTGCTTTGGAAGTAGTCATACATCCTAAGCCAAGCTTTTACAAACCAACTCTTAGTACAGATGAATAATTAAATTATGTAACACATTTCTCCCCAGATTTCTTATTTTGTACCTACTCTGAAACGAAAGTTTCACATTCCCAAATCTATACAATCTGACTTCACTGGCCAAAATAACTCCTGTTGGAGTGAAAGGAGACATGCCTTGCACTGTTCCTAGATCAGAAACACTGCTTCCATTGACTAGGGAGGCAAGGGCCAGCCCCACTGACTTCTTTGGTCTAGGCCACAGTCGGGTCCAGACAGCCCAAGGTTGGCAGAGAGAAAGCACCTATTGGGCTCCGTTTCCCCAAAGGTCTAGACATGAACTTGCCTCATCTTGAAGAAATGCTGGCACAGACTTGCTCATCCTTTTGAGTTGGTCAGGGTGGGAAAGCCGATTATCGGGCAGTGAAGGTGCTGTGGAAACTAAAGAGCAGCATTTGGATTTCAAAACTCTTCACAACCACCAGACATTAGGCACAAGTCGCAAACACACTTTGCTTCATTTATGAATGCTGTTTTGTATAAATGTTAAAGACATAGTAGTTTGCATGCATAGGGTCATAAGGTAAGTGACATGCAGTTTGTTTAAGTCACATACGGAGAGAACTAAAAGGGAGTTGAACCAAATACCAAATGAAAACTAATCGAGGAAAAAAAAAACCCACTAGTTCTTATTCAACTCGTGTTGGTCTTGAATTATATTATTTACCAGACATGGTAGCTCAGGCCTATATCCCCAGCAACAGGAAAGGCTGAGGCAAGAGGACTGTTGTAGGTTTGAAGCCATCCTGGGCTACATAGTGAGGTGCAGGCCAGTCTGAGATACAAAATGAGAAAGACCATGGTCTCAAAAAGACCCCTGCCTGTCAATATAAATTGGTTTTGCTTTTTTTTTTTTCCACATCAGAGCCTTGAATTCTAAGTGCTGTCATGTATTGGTTCATCTCCCTGCTCCCCACCAACCAGATCCATGACATTTATAACATGCTTCAGGCTGAAAAACTATTTCATTTGGACAGTAAGGATTTTTGTTCACAATTCAACAGTAAGGATCCTTGGCTATGGAACGTCTAAAATCATTGTTTGTTTATTTAGTGATCATAAAAATTCCTGATCTGGTGTGTGTGTGTTTGTGTGTATGTGTGTGTGTGTGTGTGTGTGACACACATGTGATACCATGGACCTAATGGTG